GTAGGTGACCCTGCTTCGGCAGGGGGGTTGGACTAGATGACCCACAGAGGTCCCTTCCAACCCCTACTATTCTGTGATTCTGTGATTCTATGACCGTAGCGATGTGCCATCGTGGGAGGCGAATGGTGCTCAGGGGGTGGGCAGGAACCTGGAGTCCTCCCGCCCAGAAGGGACTGGACAGATTGGGGTGAAATACGGTGGTGGTGTTGTGCTGGAGGTTCGTGGAGCTGTCGCCCGCTCACACCTGCGCGGCTGCACAATAATCCCGGATCCGGTCTGGCACTTTCCCAAGGGCTAAATGTTCGTTTAAAAGGGGTTGGAGAGATTAGAAATTCAATAAGACCCAGGAATTCTTGCAACTTAAAAGCAGCTCTACAAGTGTAGAGAGTGAGAGTTGCAGATCATTACCAGGTGAAAAAACATTTTGGTAAAGTATGTGAGCATATGCAAGTAATCTTTGGAGAATGACGTTGAGTCTTTTAGAAAACAAATTACAGGATAAAAGGTGTCTGCACCTTTGTTTTTTTAGTTATGTCTTGTTAATGGGTCTGTTTCCCACAAAGCCTTGGGTTGAAGGCCTAGCACTAACCTAGGTCAAGTTATTTTTGTTGGGATTGTCCTAACAGCCGTTAAAATAGAGTAGAACCTTGTTAGTGCAGGGTAATGATTTCCACATAGCTGACTCTAAGCCCCTACAACACATCTGAAAGCGCTTTTCCCATCCCTGAGCCGTAAATTAAACGACTCGGAACATTTGAGCGCGATGTCTGATCTCTCACCCATTACGTTAGAAAAGTGTGATTAGTTTTTGCTGTTGTCTAAACAGAAAGCTCTGACTGTTGGTAGCATGAAGCTGCTGCCAGGGCGGCTTGGGGTGGCCGTGCTGACCCCCAGGTCCCCACTGCTCTGCAGCTTGCTCGGCTCCCCTGTCCCCTGGAGCTACTGGAGAGAGTCCAGCGGAGGGCTACGAGGATGGTGAGGGGACTGGAGTATCTCTCCTATGAGGAGAGGCTGAGGGAGCTGGGCTTGTTCAGCCTGGAGGAGGCTGAGAGGGGACCTTAGAAATGCCTACAAATATCTGCAAGGTGGGTGTCAGGAGGATGGGGCCAGACTCTTCCCAGTGGTGCCCAGCGACAGGACAAGGGGCAACGGGCACAAACTGAAGCAGAGGAAGCTCCAGCTGAACCCGAGGAAGAACTTCTTCCCTCTGAGGGTGACGGAGCCCTGGCCCAGGCTGCCCAGGGAGGTTGTGGAGTCTCCTTCTCTGGAGATATTC